GGAGGTCAGCTCAGAGTGTGACGACCTCCTCCTGCTTCCTCTTCCTCCACCTCAAGCTGCCACTGTAGTCCCAGAGGAAAGACTGGACAATTCAGCAAGCGTGGCTGTCACCGTGCCCGTCTCTGTTGTTCCCCACCCACCGCCCTCGCTCCACATCCTGCCTCCAACTCCCGAACTCCAGCGCGTTCGCCGGTCACCTCCCAGACATCTGTCGCTCTCAGAGCCTCAACACAAACCTTTCAGTCTGCACGACAGAGGCAGCTCAGAGGAAATCTCTCCCCTCACTCTGGGGTCCGCTGAGTCGGACGTTCTCGACCAGTCGTCGTCTGAACTGACAAGTGACAAACACAGTCCTCTCAGCCTCGCAGACACCACACCTCCTCCACTGGTTCTCCCTCTGCCTCCCAGTGATGACAACAACAACCCCAGTCAGTTAGACACGGCCGACGACTTCGACAGCCGCGCAGACGCCGACAGCTCGTCCGACCACAGCGAAGACTGCATCGACTTTTTCAGTGCCAGGGAAAGGTTTCTGGGCTTGTCTCAGGATGGCAGAGCTCGGACACTGTCAGAGCAGTCGCTGCAGAGGGCGCCGATGTCACAGGAGGAGAATGGAGAAATGGATGATAAAGATGAAGAAGAGCAGGAGACTAAGAGTCAGGTACAGATGTTGACAGAGATGATGATCTCAACACCAGTTTAAGTTGTTTCACAAAAGAACATGATGTCAGTGTTTCATTGACGAAAATTAAAATAATTAATAATAATAGGAGACTATGTATATCAGTGGAGGCTACACGTAATGGACAGTCGAGCCATCCATTAGAGCGTTGCAGCAATAACAGCAGCAGTAAATCAAAATGTGCTAAATTTAATTTATTTGTTCTTTGATGCAGATTTATAATTGAAAAAAAAATTTAATGACAAAAAAGATTATTTCACTAAGATGTGTATAGTATGTAGTGACCAGGTCTGAACCACTCTGCACTACATTACATCTTAACACGAGTCATAGTGACACCTGCTGGAAAGTAAGGGAACAACCACGTCAAGTGCCATGTTAAAGCAGCTGTAAAGCAGTGAATGATTACGTGCAATAAAACAGACTGTTACTGGTTTATACATTTACAGTGACTAATGCTCTCTGTCTCCCTGTCTCTGTCTCTCAGGTGTCTCCGCTGTCTGAAGATAGTGATGACACAGCCAGTGACCAAGCGCCTCAGTCTCAAGATAAAAGCATATCAGTTCGCCATATTGTTACTGAGATCGAAGCCATTAGTCATCCACCTACTCCGTCCACCTCGCCATCACTCCTTCCATCATCTCTCAGCCCACAGCTAACCCCCGTGGAATGTCAGGAGGAGGCAGAGTCCGGCAAAGTCTCCTTGGACTCCGCCACTCCACCTTTGCAGCCACCTTCTCCCTCAGTGCTGCCCTGCGACTGGCCAGTGGGCTCGGTGCGACGAGCCACCGAGCAACTGGAGCAGAAGCTGAGGCAGCAGGAAGTGGAACTGTCTGCGTCTCAGCGATCGCCGCTGCACTCGCCCAGTGCTGAGCATCCGCCTGTCAGACTGTCCCCGTCCCCGTCCTCCCCCAGAGCTCAGCATCCTCCTCTTGACCCCCCCAGCCCCTCCGCACAACAAAGAACCGCTCAGGGAGAGATCACAGCTCTATCTGATGAAGAGAATCATACAGGGTCAAAACGTGAGCGACAAAGACCCACCACCTCAGGCACAACCAAACTCCCAGACCCCGAACCCCTGTGTACCATAAACTCAAACAATAACCCAGCCTCTGATGCTGAACCTATCACTGTGCAAACACCTGTACATAGCCATATGTTGACATCATCACTGGCCTCCACACCTGAGTCAGCAGAACAATCTCTATATACCTCTCCTGACATCAAGACCCTGCCCCAGGACTGCTCAGTTCAGATGAGTCTGGACGGAGCAACAGTGCAGGAGTCGGATACAGATGAAACGCCGCCATCTGGTGTGTCTGGAGGCAAACAAAAAGGCTGCGTCCCCGGCTGTGAAGCCCAGACCAAACTGGCCCGCAGCACTCAGGAGCTCCAGAGGATTCAGCAGACGCTCAGAGAGCTGCAGGAGTTCCTGCACGAGGGCGCTGCCCTGCAGATGACAGACGGCGCAGCGGAGGAACTAGAACAGCCTCAGGGCCAGAGAGACGTTATGGCCTCAGAGCCAGGACCTTGTAGAAGGACAGGTTCTGAACAGAGCCATGCAGATTCTCTGGAATTAGGACAGCCTCCCCAAAATAGACAAAAAGAAAATAGTTTTCAAGCAACTGGGCTGCAGAGAGCCATGGATCTGGAGGCCCGTATCCGCCAGGCGGGTCTGACGCCCCCTTCTCTAATGAAGCGCTCGGCCTCTTTGGCCAAACTGGACTGTCTGGAACTGTCAACTCATGACCTCAGCGACTTGGACCTGAGACCACACGTTAGGACGACGTCGACACTGTCCCAGGACTCCATCGTCTCCGCATCCTTGTCTCACCCCGACGACTCCTGGAAGAAACAGAAGGTCCTCACTGGAAACATTCGTGCCCAAAAGACGGGCGCGTCCCACGACGAGTCGTCCGCACAACTCTCCTCAGGTGCTCGCCGTCCCAAAGAAGACGCGCCCGATAGGGAGGACGCAGCCGCGTCTCGACAGCAGGGGAGGGGACACTCAACCAGACGCTCTCGCAAAGCCTCTGCTGAGAAGAAGCCTCGAGCCGCGGCCGTGCTTTACAACACCATGTGACCTCACAGAGTGGACTGGAACAGACGTGACTGTGCTCCTGTGTGTGTGTGTGTGACAGAGAGGGAAAGGCTGCATGACGGGTATGAACGAGCGGGCGTTGTGTAACTGTATGTAAGTAGTGGATGATCATGAACTTTAGAAAAATGTCTGCATGTAAACAAACCACTGGATGTGTCGTCTCAACTGGAGTCGAGTTTTTTTTCATGGTAGGTTATTAAATATGAATGTCCACGCAAAGACTGAACAAATGCATTACTGTATGCACTCCGGAACATTTCTGTCCCTTTTTTTAAAATATTGTTTTTCAGCGTCGGACCCTCCGTGTGACGTCGGAGCGGCTTCTCTCCAAATATGCACTTTACTGTTTCGATATGTTTTGTTTTATTTGGGATCTGTTTCTTACCCTGGGAGAGAATTTGTTTGCACTGATCTCAGTCGACTCGTCTCTTGTCTTTATTCAAATTTTTAACTGTACCAGGACGAAGCTGTGTTTTTTAAATTCAGTTCTTTAGCAGCAAATAAACATGTTGAGTTTGTTTTGACTGCGTTGACTTTTTTTTTGTCCACTCTATGTGGACTTTGCTGCCTCCTGATGGTCAGGCAGAAAAAGACAGATGGGATGGGTGAAAAAAGGTGGAAGAGAAGTGACAAATATTTGGGGAACACTTTAAAGACTGCTATATCAACTGTCCTATAACACTGCACTACCTTTATAAAAAAAGAAGAAAAAACATCCTTGCACTTGACATTTGTGAAAAGTCAATCCTATTTCCGCAGGGAGAGCTTCACCGTGGGAGCTCTGCAGTTTATTTCTGACTGACATTTTACCTACAGTTTCATGTGGTTAATTAAACCCTTAGATGTGGGTCACAGGTGCCCTGCTGCCTCATATGCCCCCTCCTTCCTCCCCCTCTGTCTCTCCCTCTACACACTATACTACACTGCGGAAGCAACACTGAGATGACAGAATTTACCAGGGGAAAAAAATCCTTATAAATTCCTGGTTTATATGTTTGTGTGTAGATAAAAAGTACAGAGTCCAGAAGAAGAAGAAAAAAGAAATCAGAGCAAAAGAAACTAGAGAGGGTGGGAGTGTTTGTTTCTCGGGGTGTGACGGCTGACATTAGCATCCTCTCTTTGCATACTGATGCCCTCAGCTTTTTCTTCTCCCCCAGCACACACACAGAGTTTATCTGTGGCTCTTTAGGGACTCCCTTCACACACACTTGCAGCCCAGAGCTTTCTCCATCCCACAGTTATTCACACAAAAAAACCAACTGAATCCAGGCGAGTTGAAATGCAGCAGCAGCTGCAGCAGCTGCAGCAGCAGTGTGATGCTGGTTTATAGGAAGTAATCATATTTTCTCCATCTCCCTCGCCCACCATGAGAGAGCCTGAGTGCAGACAGATGTATTTCTTCCTGGGCTTAGAGTCTCTCTAAGCTGCCTTCTACTTCCCCTCAAGCCTAAAATAACTTGCGGGTAAAACTCGAATCTGGCTGAGATGCTGGGAACCACTGTTCACACAGGCGATAATGGAGACAGAGGCTAAAAACAGAGCAGTTCTCGATGGCACTGAGTGACACTCAGGATTTCATGCAGCTCCCTCTTCCTGCCCTGCAGGGGGTGCAATAAACTCAGAATTGCTGGTGAGTTGAATGTGCTTGCTTCTCAGTCTTCGTCCACTTCCTTTTTTGGGTCTTCTTCTCTTTCTCAGGCTTTGGGTCTGTTTATTACCCTGAAGGGATAGAAAAGGTACTTTGGGTCTGTTTATTACCCTGAAGGGGTAGAACCCATGCAGATGACTGTTAGAATTTTGATATTGAAATTTTCATCACAAATGTCTCCAGCCTATATTTTACTGTATTTACAGGCAGGAGATGATGAAAGCTTTAACATAAATGAAGTTCAGATACCCAGCAAAAACAAAATGTTTTTATTTGTGGTTTATTTTTGGAAATCAGTTCAGCAAACACTGGGAAAACATCTCCTCACATCTCATTTTCCCAACAGCTTTAAGTAAAAAAGGATGAAGTGTTCTGACTGACCAGGCAACTAAAGTCGTGAAAAACAGAGAATAAGAGCGTTGTGGCTCTGAGTTTGTGCTGATGTGTAAATGATCAATGATCCTCAGTCCGTCAGTCTCTGGCAAACAAATATACAGTATGTTAACCGGTGTTTAACTCTAACTTGCCTTTACTCATATATAACTGTTATACAATCCAAATTTTTTAAATCACTTTTTGCATGATTTTTTTTTTCCATCAATGTGCAGAAACACCCAACAGTAGCACCCTGACATACTGCAGGTCTAAAGTCTCACACAGGTGCACACCATGCTGTGATGTTGGTAACACACACACACACACTGACACTCTCACTATACGGTGATGACACAGGAAAAAAAAAAGGTGAAGGGTCTGCTCCTCACAGCTGAGCAGATGTCATTTACAGGAAATCTTTTCAGCTCCACAGCAACGCCACGGTTCACAAGCACAAGCCAACACGCATTGTCCCTTTATTTATTTTTTTAGGATTAAACAGCAGTCGCAGTCACACACAGAAAAGAAAGCACGATCAGGTAGTGTTTCATCACATCTGTGCTCAAAGTCTAACGCCGGACCCGGACCGTAGTCTGAGCCGTCTTTGTGCTCCTCCGCCTCATCATCATCTACACCCAGTAACAGTCATGTGTTTATATGTGTTCCACCCACAAGCTCGGTACAGTACAGTACAGTACAGCTGACGTTTGTGCAAATCAAAACTGAAAAATTGTTGCTTATTATTTCTTTGACTTATCCTTCAATAATAATAATAACATTTTTGTTAGCATTCAACACAATCGAACCAACCTTTCAAAAACAACCATAGACTGTACATAAGAAATGGACACGACCTTGGGATGACAGGCTCCTGTGACGCTGTGGAAGTACAGTGGTGTGAACAGACCTTTAGTTTTAGCTTTTTTTTTTAATCCTTCACTCTCGACCTCTGACGTCTTTCTACTTCACAGATTTATTTTTTCAACAGGAAATGTCTGTGGTCTTTGTGAAGGATTTAGGAACATCAGTCAAGTGTTGCTGTTGACTGAGTGATAAGAGTACTAGTTTAAGAGTTCTCCGAAAAACAACGTTACACCTAAGCAACTTTGTCATACCACCTTAAAATTTTTAAGGTGGTATGACCCGGTAGTTCAGTCCAGCTGACTTGAAATGAACTGTAAGTGATAATGTAATAACCGGTGACCTTGACATGTCCTAAACGTGTATGCATCTGACTAAGGTTGAGACTAATAATCATGGATTAGTGACGACTTGTGAACACCTCCGTCGACCGCTTCTTCTACCGTCCGGACCGGGCTCTGATTCTAGAGGTAATTCTCACTCTTTCTAGCACCAGAAAGCATGTCATGTGTGGCGTCAACTCATCATTTAAGTCTACTCTCATTGGCTGTGTCCATTTCTTACATACTGTCTGAGGAGCCCACAGTATTGTGGTCTCACCGCTGTCCTGACTCATCGTTCACTCCCCCCCCCCCCCCCCCCACCATCAGAGTCAGGAGTGACGTCGACACACTTGGTGAGTGTCGGTGCTGGAGAAGAGTCTTTACAGGACTAAAGGTGAGCTGTTGACTCCTGTGTGGAGAGCTGGTTTTGAAACAAACACACACACATTACATTAACACACAAACACACACACACACGGTGTGCCTTTGCACCAGACACACACCAACCACTCATCCAGGGAGACATTCTTAACTGGTTGTATTGGATGCATTGTTTGTAAACTGGCACTGGACAAGGGAAGTACCACGTGGTACCAGAGAGAGCGAACATGGCGCCCCCATCTGGCCGTCTGAGGTCCAGACAGTCACTGTATGGCTTCATGGGAGAGGTCTGGCGGAGGTGATGGGAGAAAACCAAGATGTTTCTCAGCGATGTGTGCTTAGCTTATCAAGCCTAAATTGGCTTTTTTTCCCATGATTCCTCACTTCAGCACCCTCCCCTTAATCACCAACCAGGCCCGAGGAACCCCAGTCCCACTGGACCACCCAGCTCTCATTTGTCCATGAGTGACAGCTGGATGATGCGTTGCAGTTCCTCTTCTTCCTGCCGCTGCCTCAGCTCCGCCTCTTCCTGCTCCCGGGCTGAGATTTCCATGGCGATGCGCAGCTGCTCGTCATAGCTGCAGGTGGTTGGCTGTTTCTTGGAGGGGGTGGAGCAGAGGCCAGACGCAGGGCGGGGCTTGTGTTGGGGTGTCCTGGATAAAGGGGAAACAAATACTTTGGTGAATACGAATCGAAAAAAAAAATCTCTTATTGGATTAGGACAGGGGCCACATACATAAGTGGGCGGGACTAGTATATTAGAAAACATTCTTATTTCATGACATAACATATGACAAATCACCCCTGACACAAAGTGTTTATGCTTTCAAAATTTATCAAGCGGGCCGTATTGAACCCCCTAGCGTACAAGTTTTGGCCCGTGGGCTGCATGTTTGACACACTTGAATTACGAAATTAAATATTGTACAAACATGTTTGTTCAAATTTTTTTTTTTTTTCAAGAATGCACAGACGTTTGGTATTTGACTGTGACAAAATTAACACTGAGTAAAAACACAACATTTCCTCTCCAGAATCCAACCACTGATCTTCTTGCTGTAACCACTTGTCATTCCACCCATCAGGATAAAACAAACGGCCAAAAATATCTTCATACAGGACGACCCCCACCTCTCCTCACCTCATCCTCACCCAATAAATATTGAGCAGACGGATGAAGGCCACGTGAATAAAGAGAATTGATCAGCAGTGAACTCCGGCCCTGTGACACAGTTTGTCCCTGTTCATCGTCGCACTTCATTTGGGTGTTAATTAGAGTCGTTAGAGTCACCTGTGAGACACAGCTGAGTTTGTTTGCCTGCTGTTTTCTGAGCGAGTGTTGACTTTTCTGGGAACTCAGGACTGGGGATCAATCCCTGGACGCTGATATCTGTCCCGTCTCCCCTGAACTCTGACGGTGTCTGCAGGCCGAGGTACTGTAAGGTAAGCAGCTCCTTTCACTCCTCTAACACACTGTCTCTCCAAGGGTGTCAAACGTACGGTCCGTGGGCCAAAACCGGCCCGCTGGAGAGTTCAGTTCGGCCCACTTGATTGATTTTGAAAATAAAATAAAAATGTACACCTCGTGTTCAGGATACTTTTTGTAAAATTATATTTAATTAAATATGAATAAATAATAAATATGCAATATTCTTGTACTATTTTGCATGAAAACAAAAGGTAAAAAACATGGACTTATTGTTATTTATAATTTATCATGTTATGATGGTACTGGTCCGACCCGCTTGACTTCTAATTAGGTTTAGTTTGACAACCCTGATCTAGAGTTTTCAAGCTTAAGCTGCAAACGTGTCAGCGCCCTCTACCAGAGGTGGCTGTAAACACTGTGGCGTCCAGGGTTAGGGACTGATGGACAAAGGCTATAAGTCAGGTCTTAGAGGTTTAATATTTAATCGTACACATAAACACACACACTAAAAACACTGAGTACTACAAACATCAACAACAGAGTATTTAATGAAATAACATAAATAAAACAAGAGTTCCTTTTCTAGGTTTTGTGCAAATATTTAGAAAATCCAACAGTACAAAGTAGTGCAATATGATATAAAAACTATACAATTTAAATTAAATTCATTCAAATATTTATGGACATTTGTTTTGAGCCAGTAAATTGTCACTATTTTTAATTTAATTTTTTTATTTAAGTTGCCCCTCTCCTCCTGGGGACCGGTGGATTATTTGATGGATAGATTTATATATATATCACTATGTCACTTTACACTGATAAAATTAAATGACTAGTCGTACTTTTTACGTCGTCTTCCTTTTTCCCCTCCTAATTAAAGCAGTGATTAATGACAGTCGTGATTCTAGAAGCAGCGTTAGTACAGTATGGAATAATAGTGCCATCTATTTTTCTTCTTTTAGTCCATAAGTCTAATAAAAGCTGAAGGTGATGAAGTGAATTCATCTTTAGTTTCATTGACTGTCATCATTTTTCAGGTAGAATTTGAGTGTGATTTATATTTGAGCCCATAAAGATGAACATCGTATAAATCTTGATTTTACTTGCAATTCTTCTTAGTATAAAAAAAACAGAGGTAAGAATGTTATTTAAAGAGACAGCATTAAACCTTGATGCACATTTTATTGTTACTTAACAGTTCCAGTGGAGGGACAATATATATATATATATTTAAATGAAATAATCCTGTCTTTAATCTTCAGCCCCGGCTGCAGAGCCGACTGTCACGAGATGAGTTAATGCAGTTTTGTGTCTCCAGAATTTTCCGCTGCACTTTTGTTCTCTCACTGATTTGTGTGAAGTCTGTCATATTTCTACTTGTTACATTTCGTGAATTTCTTCATCTCACTTCTGCTGGAAATAAAACTTTAGCTCAGGGAAATGTCAGGAAGACTTGGTGTTTGTCTGTCAGCTGAATATTTCACATTAACGATCACAAACTTTGCTTATAATTTATGACCAAAAGGTCTTTCATTGAACTTCATCGGAATTTCCACTGTTTAACTTGCAGGAAAACAAGAAAAAAAGTATATATACATATATTTATATATGTGTACATACACACATACATAAATGTATGTGTGTATGTATGTATATATGTACACATATATATATAAATATATATGTACAGATATGTGTGTATGTATCTGTTAAGATTATAATGGTTATTGTATAGTTAACAGATTCTGTCTGTGCCACTGAAGTGGTTTTTGTCGGTTGAATTCAAAGACTTAGTGACGCTTCATCTGTGTTTTATGTTCTCTCAAACCAAACCTGACACACGGTGTCACTCGTCTAAACCACGGCCTGAATCATTATCCACTGTGACGCCCCCCCTGCCCCCCCCCACACACCCACACACACCGTAGACAGAAGAACAGGGTCAG